CTGTAGTTATTATATTAAAAACTATTAATAAAGATACGAGCAAGGCCTCACCTTAATAACAAAAAAAAAAAAAAATTTTTTTCCATTGTGTTACAAATCATATGAGCAATGCGTCAAACAAGATGAGTATATATTGTGAGTAAAAACGACTTTATTGTATCATTTTTTTGGTCTTGAAGATTGTCAGAAAACAATGTCTAAAAAAATTCACGACTATTTTAACCGAAAGTCTGTAAAATGGAACATTATTGATTTTTTGAACGAGTGTGAGGAGAAATCATTCAAAAAAAAGATTGACGCGTACATTAAATCACTTGAAAATATTGTTAACTCTAATATGAGAAAAAAAAAGCGAGAAAAGGCACTAACTCTCATTGACCGATACAAGAAGGCAAGTAAAGAACCATGTTTTGTTTGAATATGATAGAAAAGTGAAGAACCATTTTTTTGTTTAAATGTGGTAGGAAATAAGTAGCATGGCAATAAATCTTCTAGTTTCTTTGCTATTCAAGACTTTTAGTCGAGCTACAAAACCAGTGCAGGGCATAGGCGAACTTCTAGTTTCTTTTGCCTGATGTTTAAGACTTTTTTTAGTCGACCTAGCATTGGTCCCATGGGGCACAGGCGAACTTCTAGTTTCTTTTGTCTGTTGTTCAAGACTTTTAGTCAACCTAATGGGCCTGATGGGATGAAATCAGAAGGATAATTGCAAAAATACTGGATAGTACTAACTTCACTCCTTTTCATTTAAGGGCGATCGGCCTGACCACCGAGAGGCACGAAAGTGGAAGAATGAGTATAAATCAGTCGAAGGAGTTGGCAGATCCTCGGTTCACTTTCACGACCTAAAAATTATAGATAGCTCTGTAGTAGGTGTAGGATTAAATAATGCAACTTTTGATATGTCTGAAAAATTGAAGAAAAGAAAACAAGAAGATCAGGAAGAGGTAGATTTTGTTTTTAAAATCAAGATCGATTATAGAGCTTATTATTCTTTTTTTTAATCACAAAGAATACTCGGAAAAACATTAAGATTGACGATTTGTCTATGTCCTATGAGAAGCTGATAAAAGAAATTAACACTGCAAGAGAAAATGAAAAGGCTTGCCTGACAGTGTATGTATTAACTAGGCTTTTAGCGTTTTTGAATCCTTCATTAAATATTATTACAGTATTATATAGCCCGTTGTGCTGGGGTATTGTTGATCTTAGAGCGAAAAATATCTCCCCATGTCCTAATCATCCTCGTGCCGGAGAATTTCTTTCGAATGCTGAAGTCCAAAAACTCCAGCAAATGTGTACCGAAATTATAAATAAAGAATCACAATTGAATCCATCTGCTTTGACGTTGCTAGAAGTGCTTCAATCAAAAACATTCAGTCTTAAAAAATTTAGTAGAGAAAAGCGGGCTCGAGGAATTAAGGGTATTTGTTCCCTGCTTCACATTAAAATCGATATAGTAGACATATATGACAAAGATACACAATATATTGGAGAGTGTTTGGATGCCTTGTAAGTTTTTAATAAAAATCTTTGTGCCTATCAACATTATTCCATTGAATATCGCAAAACGTTGTTATCATAGTGACGGTTGGGTGCGTACATATGGTGGTACATCTCATATAGAAAGAACCGTCGATATGCATCTTATTGGACCATTTTCGAGAGCACCCGGAATAAACTTTATATAGTAAGAATTTGTTCACCTTGTTTATTCATTCCTGCCAAGGTAATTAACCATTCTTTGTTTACAGCGGAGAAAGTCATTCAGGTGCAGATAGGGATGAAAAGTCTTCACGATCACAATCAGAACGAACCGGAAAAGCCTGTGATTTTCTTTTTTGGGTAAGTTTGTCTTAATGTTTGCAATAAAGTGTAATTTAAGTTAATATTTAAAGTCTTTAGAAAAATGGTTATGAAATCGGTATTGGGGAGAACACCGGGCCCATGCATAAAGATCACTATAAAAAAAGTGTCTCCGATTTTGTAAACGTTATAAAGGTTGCAAGAGCACAGCACATCAGTTTCCAGACAAAATGTATAGAAGAAAGTGGGATTAATCCTCTCCCATCGGAAATTCAAAATGAATTAAAACGTATATTTGTTCCTTTCTTCCAAGTGATTGGAATGAGAATCAGATTCTACATTTTAATTCAAATCGATGGTGATTTGTACGGCATCTGGGAATGGTCCTCTCAGGACTTGCCGACAAAAAAAGATGATATCATTAATGCGGTGTTTTTATGCAAAAGATTTCTGATTCATCGAGTAGGTGTTTTTTTTTCAATTCTTTCTTTACAATTGTTTATTTCTTATTTTGACCCAAGTACTTTTTAGAATCTTCTCAACAGAACTGGTCGCTTAAGTAAAACAGCTATTAAAAATTCGCGAATTTTTAGAGAGAGTATTGAGAATATCCAATTGGTTCAATATGACAAAAAACCCGTTAAACTGGGTTCTATAATATCTCCAAGAACAAATAGAGAGTAATTATTTCCTTATGGCATAGAAAATTTTATTCTACACAACATGACTTTACATCATCTAAGCGATCTTGTTGAATTGAAATAATAAATGATAATAAAGTTTCACCTGTAATATTTTGTGACAATCCACACCCGTATCAATATTGGTTTGTTTTTTGACATATCTATATGCGAATGTGGGAGCATTAGAAAATAAAAGTTTTTGTTTTTTTTTTAATTAGAATAAATATATTTGCTCTCATTGGGGCAAAAAAATGTGCGGATACCAGAAAATTTTTCTCGTCATGATTTTTATTTATATTAGTTAACTCGAAATTAGAATAAAACTGTACTAATTAATAATTGCCAATTGTATTGCAAAAAATCACATTAAAGTAGAAAATAACACAATGTGCTCTAGCTCATAGGATCTTCTTTATTTCATAAAAAATGTTGCCGGAACTATACATGTGTGCCGAAAATATTTTGGGCTTGCCGAAAATAAAAATTGCCGAAAATAATTTCGGCTGCCGAAAACGAAATTATTTTCGGCTGCCGAAATTATTTACGGCTGCCGAAATTATTTACGGTTGCCGAAATTATTTTCGGCTGCCGAAATTATTTACGGCTGCCGAAATTATTTACGGCTGCCGAAATTATTTACAGCTGCCGAAATTATTTACGGCTGCCGAAATTATTTTCAGCTGCCGAAATTAGTGTCGGCTGCCGAAATTAGTGTCGGCTGCCGAAGATAATTTCAGATGCCGAAATTATTTTTGGACGTTACGAAGTTCCTTACTATCTCATATTCATGTAGCTAATCACTTCATTACTTCTTATTACAAAATTGGTAATCTAAGTTTTCATTGCATATGACTTAAATTTGACCCTGACATAAAAAAATCGTAATATCTAAATAAATTAAAGTAGTTTGCATAGCAGATAGAGATTATTCATATGATAAATATATTAACTACAAAAATATCAATTATAAGATATATAACCATCTAAAACCTATCCTACTTAATCTAAAGTGACCCTAACCCTAAAGAGTTGAAAAGGATGAACATAAGGCATTCATTTATTATCAAAAATCAGCAGAGATGGGAAACGCCAATACAAAGCGGCGCTCCGGAACCCAATGGATCCCGTTTTCCTAGTTTAATTAAATATACAAACAATACAGTTTATATATATTGAAATTTCTCACACTTAGATATCCTGGATTTACTAATTTCTCCCCACACTTCTGATTGGCTGTACTAATTATTCAATTATCGGAATATTTATATTACCGGTATTAATCAAAAAAAATTTTCAAGTAAAAATTTGCGCTGTTAGGCTAGAGTTAGTATTTTGCCATTAGGTTATGATTAGAAAACGTTAGTTATACCAAAACTTTACAAGAAATTTTTTTATTAGCGCGCAGAAGACAGTTTCATAAATTGAATTTAGAGTTATAAGCAATTTTTACATTTTTACATTTTTTTTGCGTTTCTTTTACGTTACACCTGATTGTGAAATTGGATTGGCTCTGATAAATGAATTATTAGTACAACCAATCAGAAGTGTGGGGAGAAATTAGTAGACTCAGATATCCTTTGGTACAAATAATTAAATACCCATTTTCTCTGGAATGAGATAATTATGCCATACTGATTTAAAGTTGAATTTGGTAACAAAAGTCTTGTAATTTTTTCTATATCTAACAATGTCAAAAATATTTTGGTATAAAGACATTATTGAGATTCTGTCTACCAAGCCTTAAGCTATCTTTTCAGATTAACTATATCTATTAACATTAAACCGTATGCACTTTATATAGTCCAAATTTGATTTTATATTACAAATTGATTGTGTTTTGTTTATAGTATTAATTCGCATTAAAGGTTAAGTATGCATTCTACTCACGTTATAATATAGTGATCGTGTTAGAAAAATCTATCTGTTATAATGAATATTCGCTATAGAGTTATATAGTGTAATAATAATAAATTTAAAAAGTTGGCTACAGAATTACTCAGTTATAGTGAGGGATCCTCTATAATGAGGGTAGATATACATGTGTGCTGAAATTAATTTTGAAAGAAAGTATTTTCGGCAAACATTTCGGCATTGCTAAATTTTTTATATGAAACCCTCCGAAATAACTATATTATATGATATATTTTGATGAAAAGAGTTTAAAAATTTTCGGCAATAATTTTGGCACTATATAAGATTAATTTCGGATGCTAAAATGCCGTAATTACTTTTTATTATAGATGTTTTCATAAATTATGAGACACCTAGAAATTTTTTCGCTTTCTAAAACCTCTTCGATCTCATTCTAAAAATTACCAAAATTTCGGAAGCAACTTCGTTGTTCTTGAACATTTGATACAGATACAGCGAAGTAGTTTCCGAAAAGTTAGATGATTTTTAGAACAAGATCGAAGGGGTTTTGGGAAATGAGAAAATTTTTAGGTGTCCCAGAAGTTATGAAAACGGCTGTAAGATGGGCAATTTTGATGCACATGTATAAGGGAGAGTGTTTTGATTTTGTAGCTTAGATAATTTTTTTAGTATTGTTACTATTGTTTGGGAGATCAATTTGAACTATGGCCCTTTCAGTGCAGTATTGTAATATATATTTATTCTTTTGCTAAACCAAATAAAGCCTCTATTATTATAATGAATAAATATAGTAATTCCAATGAAAAGTACCTATCATACAGTTTAGCTCCAATAGTAAACTTGGATTAGGATAAGTATCGATCATTAAACTTGTGCACATTGTAGAAGTGTGTACCGACTCTAATATCACAAAATAGTGTAATATCCAACTGGATACTATTAAAATAACCTCTAATAAGACCTAAAATCCCCGAATTGGTAGGCTTCGATCGAGGCGTGGTTAGATTTGGTCCGGGTTTGGAGACTTTGGTTTTGCGGTAAGTTACTAGGGCTTCGATAAGTCTCTTTTACTTTAAGTGGTATTTATTGTACTTAATAGGTTGCCTTATATTAATGCCTTAGTTATATTCTCTCTTGAATTCAGGTATACTGCTTATTTTCTGATCACGGGATCACGTGATTTATTTCAGCATCAGTGGATGCTGAAATACGATTACGTAGTTACGATCGAAATCGAATTACGTAGGTATTATTTCAACAATGGCTTTGATCACAAAGTTAATCAGTTAATTATTTTATATAAAAATGGGTCGATTACTAATACGATATTTCTCTTTTTCTCTTCACTAATTTACGATAACGGGTCTACTACGAATTTTGAGGACAAGAAAAATACGATAATCAAACGAAATAACGAAGTATGAATAACGAAATGTAATGGCAAAGGGAAAACTTAGAGGACCAACTTCTACTTATTTACTTTTTCGAAGCTTTGAAACTTCACTCCGTTATCTTTATTTGAGGTGTGATTTTGGGGCTTTTTATACATTGTCTGTTACTATGTTTTTCTGTATACTATGTACGACATACATCTCATATTCGTTACTTTCTATCCTATGTGTATTATTTGGACCTATATTATATGAGCTATTTCTGCTACTTATGCCATATCGACCACAAGTGATAAGTTATATTGGATATGGTAAATGTGGTCGATATAGTCGAAACGGCAGATTCGGCAGAAACGACCCAAGCCACCTTGGTGTTGATCTGCACTTCTACAATGTAAATAATAAAATTAATTGAATTTGATTGATCTAATATATCAATTACACTTTAATATATTTATGTACAACTAATATGATCAATTTATAATATTGAGAGATTATTAAATATATTTCAAACTTAAATACAACAATTAAGAATTCAATTCTTATTATAATCAAAATATCGAAGTTTAAATTTTATTAAAAAAGTGATATCAAAATTATTAAAGTGCTAAAAGATAATTTTATTTATTTATAAATATATATTTAATAATATTGCAAATTTAATATTTAAAAACATAATACAAATATAATAAAAATAAAATTTTACTTTCTATTACTCATAGCTGCACTAACAACTTCATCAATATTATAATCAGTTTCATCCTCTACATCTATATTTTGATGTGCTTCATTTGTTTGCGTTTGTTCTTTTAAAAAGATATTAAAATCTATCATTTCTTTAACTTCTAAATTTTCACAATCATATTGTCTAAGTTTATCCAAGTCATCTTCATCAGAAATATAATCCATATCAAGTTCTTCGTTAATAAACATGTCATCATCGTATTCAATTGAATTTGAATAATTTTCCATTATTTGCTCAAATTCTAATTCTGAAACACTATTAGCGATATAATTTAGTTCATTTTGAGCATTAGTCATATAATAAGTATGTAATTTCGCAATATTCGATACTTTATCTACAGTTAATCTATAAGAATAATATATATTAAATTAACTATTAAAAAATATATATTTATTACCAATATAAACCAAACCCATTAGTTTGAAATTTAGTAAATTCCCAAAGGTATTTACTAGATTCAACAATTATGTTGTAACTAAACCCAAAATTG